GGAGTAGAACATCCATGGAGGCCTGCAGCACAGGGATAATGAGCCGGATGAGGTGGGGGTACACGGAGCCAGGAGTCTCCCCACACCTCCACATGGCAAGAGGCAGCTGAGGATGCCCGAGAGCAGATTAGCGTTTAGAAAACAGCAACAGTCGTGTCTTGCGCATGACGCTGGGTGGGTATGAGGGTCAAATGAAATGTGAAAGTGCATTAGAAACTTCAGTGCCACACACTTGTGGGGTGAGGGAGTGTATAAGATGAAGAGTTGGGGTGAGGAGGGGAGGCTTTGGAGTACTTTGTGAGAAATGGAAGAATTGTTATTCAAATTTAAATAGAGTGTTGGAAGTAATCATGAGGAGTGAAGTTCCTTGTGGGAGAGATAGAAAGTAGCAGTGATACTGATAGGATAATTTGCATAGAGGCTGAAACTTACAACATGCTGATCCAGCTAGGCTCACTGAGTCTTTATGAGGACTGTAGAGAAGACGCTGCTGCAGTTTTCCTAGTGGAAAACTGGAAGCTCAGGAGGGAAGAACCAGTGATCCCGGTTCCTTGATGTAAATTCCTGTTTTTTCCCCATAACCTATTTTCTTTTTTCTTGGAAGCTTTTGTGAGTTGTCACTTACCATCAGTATTATGTTTTACATAATAAAGTACTGCAAATCTTCCTCTACCCTTAACAAATATTTGATCCATAAACTTAAAGTCACTTAGAAACCTGTCATCAAGGGATTAATAGAATGCCCCATTTACCACCTTATTTGGACAGAATTTTAGAAGATAAATTGATATCAAGGGATTGAACTCACAACGTAGACTCTTTTATCACTAGAGAAGAAAAAACAACAGGTTTGGAAGTACAGCTCAAATCAGATAACCAGTTGGGGGTGGGGGTGGTGTGTGTGTGTGTGTGTGTGTGTGTAAAAGGGATGAGAAGGAAAATGGGTGTGTGTGAAAAAAAGTCAATCTGGATGTAATACAAGATGCGTTAAATCCATCATTGAAAGTTGGTCATTTGTTAAAGGAGTATTGCTAATCCTTATTTACATTTGATAGCAGCTGGGTATACACCATTCTCATCAAGATCCTTATAATTCTAAGAGATACCTGTCCCCACATACCAGGAAGATTTGCAGTGAAGCCATATAAAAGAATGGCTATTGGGAGGCATTATGCTTGGGAGTCATATACTGCCCTGCACTTACTGCAGATTGCCTCAGTGAAGTTAGTCACCTTACACATCAGTAAAACATGTGATACCAGTAGACTCCAGTCCCACAGGATTGTTAATATTAAATGAGGTTCAGTTCATGTATGTTCAGCACTATGCCTGTTCCATACTGAAGACTAATATTAGGTGTTCCTAAAGATTTCTTAGAAAAGTGAACACACTTGATGTCAAAGAATATGAATAAAAATTATTCACAGAGGGGTTAGACAATTTCCATTTAGTAAAGGAGAAGAGATTAAAGTTGTTTAAATTGTGTAGGAATCTGTTGACTGTAATTTGTTGATTATAACAAAGAAATCTGAATATTTAGTGAAGGCATAAATGAAATGAGATGGAGAACTCCCCAGCTCCACACCTGGGGGGAATTACAAGGATTTATTTTATTTTCATGATTGAATCTCATATACATTCATAGGATTTCAGCCTTGAAAAGGTGATCGTCTGGTGGTGCTACTTTTGTTTTACATCTGAAGAAACTGAGCCCCAGAAGAGTCAGGAGAGGGAACCAATTGCTCCCTCTGTGATGTTGCAGGCGTTCTTGGTCTGTGCTTCTGTACTGGTGTTTACATTCAGATGCCTTCTGTGAGCTGTTATGTGTACATCTTGGTCACTCACCAGTTTTTAGCTCCTTGAGAGCAAGCTCTGGGTCCAGGCAGCATTCAAGTAATGATGGAGAGAAGTACTTTAAAACACTTCATTTTATTTGTGCCTCACAACAAACCATGAGGAAAGTGTGCTTGCTGACTCTTTCATTGGTGAAGAGACAGCTGTGAAGCGATCTGCCCTCTGCTGCGTCAGAGCTGCATCTCTACTCAGGGAGGGCGCTGGAACACAAACTGGTGCGACTTCCTGTCAGGCACTGCTGCTACTGGTCGGTGTGTCTGCCTCTTACCCCACACCTGATTTGTGCAAGAGATTCTGTGCTCTGGAAGAGACAGATTCATGAAGCACATGTAGTCGCTGCCCTCCAGAAGCTGTTTAATATAAGAAAAGACAATGTAAAGTGAATTGAGGTACAATCCAAGTGTGGCTGGTATATACCTTAGAGTAAATTCCATAATTCCTTTCATTTTTGGAGCACCTGATTCATGCTAGACCTTGGTCTGTTTAATTCATATATTATCGCTTAGGCTTTGCACAACGATGTAAGCTATATATCATTGCCGTTTTGCAGATGAGTCAGTTAAGTTCACAGTTAAGCTGCCCAAGGGTTATCCAGCTAGTAACTCATGGGTGTGTTCGCTTATTTTACTATGTCATTTTCTTCATTGGCACTTATTTTATTATGCCATTTTCTTCACTGGCAAAAAGAAACAATTGAATCTTTTTGACACATATGAAAATGAAGGTTGTATGTGAAGACTTGAAACTATGTAGGATAAAGAAAAGCTAGATAAATGATAGTACTAGGAACTATGCTCATGATGGCTGTGTGCTACCATTTCAGAGCTCTGTTCTCTACCAGGTTTTGGGATTTGCTTTACACATCATACTAGACTACAAGGAAAGTAGAAATGAGGAGTCCTTATATAATTGAGGTCAAGTGAAAAATACCTAGGCTACTTTCTCAAATCCTTGAAATGCCAGAAAACAAAAAGTAAAAAGGGAATGTGGAGCAAAGGCTATGAGAAACCCATGAGAGAATGAAGGTGGTTGATTCCATGAGTAGGGGTTGGAAACATCAGCCTGGAAGAGAAGGGCCTGAAGTCACACAGATATAGTCTGGATGGGTACATCCTCTCCTTCGAAGTGCATTGGGCAACTTGAAGCTGAGGGCTGTAGTCTGAAACCACAAGGTCAGAATATATATGAAAAAAAAAAACCACTTTCATTGTTCAGTGAACATGTGTTTGCCAGTGGAGTGCGAACCAGCTGCAAGAGGCTCCATGAAAGAACAGCTGCAGAGGAGTTCTGCCCCCCCTGAAACCCTCATCTTTGGATATAGCTCTTGCTTTCTCTACTCCAAGGTGGAAAATTGCTCACCAGATGAGGTGTAAGAGTGGACGACGATTGTACACACCCACAGTGCGGAGCTGGCGCAGATAAGCTGGCTGGCCTCTGAGCAACATCGCTAGACCAGATAACTTCAGGGGGCGTTGAGCCCATGGGGGTGATGAGGACTTCACAGTCAAAAGAAGGGGTTTGGGTTAAATGTCAGCTGTAGAGGCACTAGGAGCTGAGGCATGAAGTGCCCTCTGCCTAAATCCATTGCTGGGAACAGCTGATTTCCACATCACTTCTGATTGCAGTTACTGACTCCATCTTTCCATCAGGTCCTAGCCACATAGGCCTCAGCACATACTCTACCCTTCGCTGGAGTTTGTCTGTTTTTTTTCCTGGCCTTTTTACTACTAATGCCTGAGTAGCTAGTTAGCCTAGACCTTAACTCTTCCAAGAAGACTTCCTTGCCCAAGTCTCATCCTCTGTATTCCAACAGCACCCTGTACTTACCTGTATCACACAGTTTTACAATTGCTTGCTTGGTTGTCACTCCTAACAGACTGCATTTCTGGAGGAAAGGGTCACGTCTTTTTAGTACATCATGTGGTACATAATAGGTGCACAAAAAGTATTGAATGAGTGAAAAATGGTCTCATAGCTTTGGAGAGTTTTCAAACCCAGGTCTTTTGGCTTGGGACACATGTTCATGGTTTTTGATAAGACTGTATATACAGAGGTATGGGAAAAATTAACTATAATGTTGAAGTTTTCTCAAATCCTCCTCCTAGAATTCAAGAAGATTTCTGTAATTGGTTTTTATTAGTACTCCCAGTCTGTTCCTTAATAGGATCAAGAGAGAGAATGTCAGGCTAGGTTTGGAAATACAGACTCGACAGTGATAAATCTCCTGTGTAGCTTAGAATAATGGCTTATGCATGAGAAATGCTGACAGCTTACTATAATTAGGTATGTTTCTGAGAACCAAAGGTAGATTCTGGAATGTTTTCCTAATTTGATTAAGAAAGTATATACCATGTCTTTGCAGAAATTGGGAGTGATTGAGTTTCTGTTGTTCAAGTATTAGGCTCCCTGTTAAGTAATTCCAAAACCGTGGCTGAGCCGCTGTCACTTCGCTGACACCTAGACCAACTTTAATATAAATAAATGTGGCCAGTTAATCATTTATTTGCCTTTCTTGTCAGCTGTTTTATTGTATTTGAATAATTTTATTGTTAGGAAAACTGCTAAGAATTGTAAGACAATGTCCCATTGAGCCCTGAACTGAGCAGAGTAAAACGTGGTTGAATGCTTTTTTATGCTCCAAGAAGTGTTTTTTATTTCAGGAACTGGGGTGGGCTCTTTCCTGACTTGTCCGTGGAGAAAGCACTCTTCTGCTTAGCCATGTAGGCATTTATAATGGCATTATTAAACTACAGCTTTGTTGTTGAGAACACTTAGGTGGTACAAAAATTTTTCCAGGGGCAATGATGATGAAAATTACTTCCAGGGTGAATTATTATAAATGTAAGGTAATTGGGGAACAAATCTGATGTAGGATGGTGGCAGTTGAAAAAACAAGCATATTTACTAAGTGAGTGGAGACTTTTAAGGTGGAGAAAAACAGCAGAAGTCCATAAGCATGCTCTAGACTCAGTTCTCTGTCTGTGTGGACTGCAAAATATACCACCTGGACAGCTGACATTTCTGGGTGGTTGTGAACCTTGCTTAAATGGCAGCAGTGCCAAGGGCCAAACAGGTGCCGGTAGGTATGGCTGGCAGTCATCTTGTTACTCTTTTTTTCTCTCTCTCATTCCTTTTGTCTCTCACAGGCTGATCCTAAAGAGCTAATCAAGATGGTCACCAGGCATGTGACTCGATCTGGACATGCAGCCTGGCCCGAGGACCTCGTCTCACTGACCCAGCAGTTACACTACTACAATGAGCGCCTCCTGGATCTCAGCCAGGCCCAGACCCTTCAGGGCCTTGGGAAGGGTGTGGATGTGCAGCGCTTTACTGCAGATGACCAGTATAAAAGGGAGACTATCCTTGGTCTGGCCGAGTAAGAGATCTGTTTGTCTCCTAAACAGATGGATTTAAAAAATGTAAAACAAGTTGGATTATCAGGACTATTAATCGCAGTCCTTTGAAAATTCATATTCATGGTTGTTGTGAACAGGCATTTCCCCCACTTCTTCCCCTCGTGTGGGGGATGCTTTTGTCTTTACGGATGGATCAATAGATGCAGGCGACATTTTGAGCCTGCAGATTTAATAGGACAGAAATTACCTTTTTAAAGAAGTTTCCAGTGACTTTGACAGCCTAGTGCCAAGATTATTACCATGTTAGAGGTGATAATATATGGTCAAGGGTGAAAAGCGTGAAGCTTATTATAGAAACTTGTAAACAAAATTGCCTTTATTCGTGGCTAGAAATTGCCCTTTCCAAACTGTATGGTTGTCTAATTTCTTAAGTATGTTAAAAATTAGATACAGTTGACCTGATACCAGAGGAGAAACCCAGTGGTGTGGGTTCAGGTTTATCTGTCCTGGGTTTCTGGAGAATGAAGAGCTCTAGAAGACTCCAGCAGTCTCTCTCCTTGGAGGCCATTAGCAGCTGCCATTTTTTTCCTTTATCCCTTCCCTCTTTCAAGAGAAAAGTAAGCCCTTGTGTGAGATGGCAGTACAGTTCAAGGACCAACGGGAAGAGTTCCTTTCTAGGTATAGAATTCTCATCGGCTTAATGCCAATCTCCATTTTTTGTCTTAGTTCAAATGAGTTCAGATCACATGAGACTTACTTACGTGTCAGAGAGTAGGAAAGTATGTCCACCCACATGGTTATTAAGTAGAGGTGTTTTGTTTTTAACATCAGTTTCGGAGTGCTTACCATGGGTAAGGGGCTATGTTAGATGCTCTATAGACTTTATTTTATAAACATCTTTTAATCCTCATAAAACATTTTATTTGAGACTCAGGAGTGTTAAGTGGCTCAGCTTTTACATGGGTGCTAACGATCACAGCTGTGATTCTAACCTTGATCTGTCACATACGAAAGCCATCACTTCTTCACACACCCCCATGGACCCTCCCCTGCATTGCTTGATTATTTTCATGGAAGCATTAGCATGCAATTCAGTCTAGGCTGTTGGTCTTTGACACTAAGGTTAAACTGTGCTTACAATTAATAGCTGTTCCTCTCTCCTGATGAGATATTTAAAATAACTGAGATAGTCCTGTTTATGGTAGTGGTATATACTGGTTTTCATTATTGATAAAATCTTTAAAAAATGGCAAAGTAGCCTTGGCCCTCTGTAATAATTTTATATTAGTCTGGGCTTCTTTCTTAGTAAACTAAAGCCCAAATTCTCTTTAGAGTAAGGCAGGGAAAGAGAGATCAGAGAAAGATTAGTAGGAAAACCTATAGTAGGAGACCTTTAAGAAGAGGAGTATGAAATGTTTTCTCTCTTCTGCTCTGTTCTCCTGGAGGTTCAACATTTCATTGAATCATTTCATGTCTAATTTGAAAGTGACTGAAGAGATCATTTACTCCAACCTCCTCACTTTTGGAAGAGAAGTCTGAGAGCCAGAGAGCTTTGAAGAGCCGTTCAAGGTCACACAGCCAGGAGTCGAGCCTGGCTTCCAGTGTTTAAGCCCAGTGGGCTCTTCCTTTGGGCATTTGGTAATCCTGGGCACCAGGCTCATGGTTTCTTAGGGAGAGGGTCATGAGGCAGAATAAAAGTTTACAAGGTAAGGCATGTCTTACATCATCCATTCATTTTGCTAGAGTTTTATCCATCATTTTCTTTTTTAAGTATCCAGCTTACATATGCATTATATCTGTCCTTTATTGTTCTAGAGGATAAATACATGCTTTTGATAAATACGTAATAGAATCTTCTTCACAGTCTGTTGCTTAGAAAAATATACAGTTGTCTTTAGATGGCTTGTTTAAAAATGTCTCACAGTGTCCATGGGTATTCTGAGCTAGCAGTTCTGATTTGGAGAAGAGATTTCAGTGTTTTACATAAAAGAAGCCTTGAAGGACCTGCCGCCTCCTATTTTGCAGCTCTACCTTCAGTTTTATACAATGTGACATTCTTTCCTTTCTTAATAACCGTATCTCCTTTTAATGTCAGTTTTCTGTAAGTGCATTATATCTGTCCTTTATTATCTTTGTATCTTAGATAATAACATTCTCAGTGGGTAGGGTAAGTTTGAAGAGGGTGTGACGTAATTTGGTTTTGTCCCACCTTATCAAGTGATAAAAACACTAGTACTCAGCACAAACCTGGTGTCAGGCACTGGGCCAGACCACCGTAATAGAAAGGATGCATTGCTAATAGTCCCTATTTTCAAGGAATTCTTTATATCATAATAGATAATTTATGAAATAATGTTCAATTAAGAATCACCTAATAATCCACACATTGGCAAACTTAATTCAGTCCTTGGCCTCTTTTCTGCAGTCCATAGAGCACAAAATGGTTTTTATATCTTCAAAGGTTTGTAGAAAAACAAGATTAAAAAAACAAAAAGAAGAATCTGCTAGAGACTGTATGGCAGCAAAGCCTCAAAGATTTACTGTCTGGATCTTTACAGAAAAAGAACCCCTGGCTAATCCAGCCTGTAAATGTCCTGGTTTCTTTAGCTGGGGTAAATATAGTCTTAGCAGTATTGCTTAGTAATAACATACTTCATCCCTGCTTCTGCGGTTTGGCCCACCAGTCTTCCAACTGAGAATTCCGTGCTGGTGTTTCTTTCTGGGAGATAGTTCTGTAGCAGTCTTCCAAAATGGCCCTAATGTGGGTGTTCTGGACCAGAATTCCTTATACGTGTTGAAATTTGGAAATCTAGTGACATCACTTCCTGGTTTACCTTCCCCTGGCTCCCCGTTGTGTGTAGGATGTGTCACAGGTCCCCTAGCAGGCCTGATGATGCCATACTTTCCCAGCTGTGAAACCCCTTTCCACCTTCTCTCTCAGAAGCCCGTCTGTCTCTCTCCCCCTCACTCCCTCTGTGTAGTCATTGCTCGTCTGCCGTCCTGTCTCCAGCATGGATCGCTCGCCCTCTGACCTCCCTCCTCCCACTACTGTGGAGTCTTCTCTTTCAGCATTCCTGTCACTGGGTTTAATTGCCAGTTTGCATTTCACATCCTCCACTAGGCTGTGAGTTCCTCAAGAAATATCTTGTTTGTTTTATATCCCAAGTAGGTAGCACAGCACCTGGCATTATGTAGAAAATAAAAATTTGTTGAACGACCGATTTCTCAAATAACTACCCATGGGCTATTTCCTTTGCATTATTCTTTGATTGTAGGCTCTGGTGTCTAGACCAGAAGTTTTTCAACCTTGGTACATTTGGGACTGGAGAGACCTGTGTTGTGGAAGTGCTGTTCTGTACGCTGTAGGCTGCTCAGTGGGGTCTCTGACTTCCACCCCCTAGATGCCCATAACGGTCACCCCCTCTTTCACTGTGACCATCAAAAATGTGTCTGCACATTGCCAAATGTCCACTGAGGGGCCAAATCACCCTCACCTGAGAACCACTGGTCTAGATAATTCTTTGGTCAATTGTGCACCTCAGAGAAACATGAACATTAAAATTCCTTGAAAGTACTTTTCCTGAATTACTGTGAAATGTCTCGTTGAGGACTATGCTGCCCGCATCCCTCTCAGAGGGCAGTATTAATGAACACTTTCTGTGCTAATTAAGGTATTGTGTTTCTCTTCTCTCCCTTCCCTGTGGCTGACGGACATTCTTGAAGAACACTTGAGGAGAACGTCTACAGCATTGCCCTTTCTCTGGCACGGCGTTACTGTGTCTCCCATTGGGAAGTTTTTATGACCCATTTGGAGTTCCTGTTCACGGACAGTGGGTAAGCACACAATTCATGTGTAAGTTTATTTCCATGTCTATCTTTTCAGAGTCTATTTTAGAAGAATCTTGAAGTGGTAAAGTACAACTTCACTTTTCCTTCTGAGTTATAGTAGACCAATATCTTTGTACCTTCTCTTTTTATACTTCTGACACACTGATATTCTGTCTATAATCTATTTGTTTTTATTTTTCCGTAGTAATATCCTGAGTTAGATGCTTTATTCATTCATTTATTCAAAGGTTTCTATTGAGAATTGTGTACTACAGAGAATATTAGACTTACAATTGTGAGCAAAAGCAGACATCCCAGCTATCTTGGAACTTACAGTCTAGTGTGGGAAACAGTTTATAATCGAATAATTATACACAAATAATTTTATATAAGCAACTGTGAAATTAAAACTGCGGCAGGTACCATGTAAGAGAGCCCAAATAGGAGACTTGGCACAGCTGGGGAAGAGTTTCCTGAAAAAGTAATGCTAGAGCTGAGACCTAAATTTTGAGTCAAAATTAATTATGCTACAAGGAGAAGGGAAACCATTTTCCAGGGAGACAAAAAAGTTTAAGTGCAAAAGCCCTCTGACAGGAAGGAGCACAGAGTGTGAGGGTCTGGAAGATGGAGAGTGTGGGTGAGTCCATGAGGGTCAGGGAGCACAGCGTGGGAGGGGCCTGGGCCCGGCAGCAGGCTGTGCAGGCCCTATCGAGGCTGGGGGCTTTTTCTTAAGAGTAATAAGAAGCTATTCAAATGTTTTGGTAAAGGGGTGGAAGTAATACCAGATTTGCATTTTGGTAAGATCCCTTTGGCTACCATGTTGGGAAAAGATTTGAGGGAGGCCTGTGCAGACGTATAGGCCAGTTAGGGAGCTGTTACAGTAATAAACTGTGACAGGTGACCCTGGCTTGGAGTATGGTTTTGAAAGTACAGAAGGAGTGGGGAGAATGGGTTTCAGAGATATCTAGAAGGCTAAGTAAGATTAAATTAATTGCTTAATGAGAGTAAACTAGATATGAAGGTGAGTGAAGGGGGATATGTCGAGATTCACCTCCAGGAAGTTGCCTGGTCTGCAGGTTAATGACATCATTTCGGCAGAACAGGTAACACTAGTTACGGACAAAGTGTTTTCCGGGGGGGATGAGGGAAAGGCCAGGGAATGGTGAAGTTACACGCATGGAGATGCCAAGTAGACAGTGGAACTCTGGACTGCAAAAGAGAAGGTGGAACCGGAAATACTGACTTGGAGTCAGAGGCACATAGATGGTAAATAAGCTGTTTGTGGGTACGCTTTGGAAGGAATATGCAAGGGGAAAGGAGAATAACTTGGAGCAGACCTTGAGGACCTTCCACGATTAATGGTAGACGAAGAGCTGCCAATAAAAGGGACCAAGGGAGCAGCAGAGAGGGAGGAGGGAGAGTGGGGAGTCTTGTGCTAGAGAAGCGCAGGAGAGAGTCTACAGAAGCGGAGGGAGGATTGAATGGAGTCAGATCCTACTGAGCAGTCAAGACATGCTTATGATCTAGCACCTTTAACTTGTATTAGTGCATCTCCGTTTTAAGTACTACCTGGGTAATAGTGTTACTGTGATAAATACTGCACTGACTTCACCACTTTGGGGCACAGTATGATGTTCAATAAATGTCTCTTATTCATATTGACATAAAAAGATCTTGACATTTTATTAAGTATCTTTTTCCTTTCCTTAAAGTTATATAGAAGGATATACCTGTACAAACAGGATGTTCCGTTGGTCTCTGAATATATTGTAAATTATCAGGCAATCTGGTAAGGGGCAAGACCCCTCACAGCCTGTCATTACCCCTGACAGCAATGTGATTATGCAGATGCCAGCAGTTACAAAGGCAGGAAGCCATTACCTCCAGGCATTACTTAAGGGTGACAAAACACCTAATACTGATGTAGCAAGTGGTGTTTGGTGCTCTCTGTTCTTTACTTAAAATATTATCTTTTGCCTTACTGTTCAGTCAAACTTACTGATCAGTCAGCCTCATTAATTCAAATTGCCCAACATTTACTTATTGAGCCAATGCCAGTGGGAAGCTAATAGGTCAAAGTTACAGAACAGAAAAATAATGTTCTTTGCCTTGGAGTTTTGTTTACTCTTCCTTTAAGAAGTCATTGTCCCCCAAAGTTGGTTTCCCTATAGTATCACATTCTCCTTCCCTCCTGGTTGAATTCGGTGGTGTTCCCCATCTCCGCACGCGTACGGATGGCAGGTGTGGGAGAGGTGGCATGCAGTAGAGCACAAGCCTTCTGTGCTTGTGACCACTAGGTAAATTCTAACTCTTTCTCTCTCTCGTGAGTTCCTACACAAGATAATTCAGTTTTCTGAAACTGTGTAGCCTTGAAGGAAACTCATTTTCCTTAGTGCCAAGTAAGGCGTAATAAAAATTACTGCATGGTAAAATATAAAGCCTAATAAAGTTTCTGAGAGGATCGGTCCTAATAGCAATTATTCCTGGGATTTCACTCCTGTAAGAAAGAGATAATTGTCATAAAACACCTATACTTAAGCTGCTGGTCTCCCTTTTTCCCTTATTTTTCCTCGTATTTTTTTCTTTTTCTTAGTAGGGTTAAACCAGTGATGTCCTTGAGTGGCCATGTGTGTCTAGAGTCATTTCCAGCTGGCAGACACTGACTCCCTCCGCCTCTCGGCTCTGCTGGGACCTGGTGGACTCCCCAAGCTCAGCGCTCATTTTTCTGCTCATTGTGACCTTAGAGGCTGTTTTCCCCTCTGGGCTGCCCCCGGGCACTATGGCAGTGCTTACGGACAGCGCGGACTCCCAGCATCTGCGTGGCCTCGTGTGAAGGCACAGGTTTTGGAGTCAGGCACGTTTAAGATCCAAACCTGCTCCCCATGACCCCAGCTGTGTAGCCTTGAACAAGGGTATTAATCCTCTTCAGTCACTGTTTTCTCAGTTTTCGGGACCATTATCCGTACCTTGTCAGGTTGTAAAGATTAGAGAAAGTCTGTGGGAAGTAGGTGCCTGGTGGCTCTGTAATATTATTGCAATTATCCCTGTTACTGTGCTTCTCAGCTCTGCTGATTCATGAGTATTTTAAGTATTGGACACAGGATCATTTTGAAACAGCAGAGGATGCTTCTAGCTGATAGAATAGGATCACATGTGTTCGTTAATTATTGCTGTTATTTTTATAGTATCTTTGTGTTCCAAGCATAGGCTTAAGTGCTGAACAATATACAGAAGTGCATTGATTAAGTGCAGAAGATACACAGAATCTATTTATGAGGGTTGCTGTTCCTCACAGGTTTGTGTACAGGTTGACATGTTGTAAATTCTAAATCCTCACCTGTTCCATCTCCTTCTCCCTTACAGAAGCTTAGCTTAGTTGAAGGGTTATTGTGAGACCAGTTAGTGTATGGAGAGGGATTTAAGGTCACTGTCTATTAAAAGTATGTCATAACATTGAAAATTAGGATAAATAAAAATTCAGGACCAGGAAAAATCCATTAAAGTAGGAAGTTTGAATATAGATATTCAGGTCGTAGTTCTTACACATTTGTTGAAATTGAGCCCTACATTAGGTTTTGATCTTTATTTTGGCCTAAAGGGATTTTTTACTAAGACTAAGATTTGCATTGTGTGTAAGAAATCTACCAATCCTAGAAATGGGAGAACTACTACCATAACCAAAGTGGAAGCAATTCCTTCCATATATCTGCATCCTTTTATCCATGTTGTGATCCTTAAGGCCACTTTCCCTGCTAGTCGAAAGCTCCTGAGACTGGCACAAAATGTTAAGCAAAAGAAAATGCATTTTCCTGTTTCCATCTTGTGTAAAGTGCTTAGGCTTTGAATCATGCAAGTCTGGATTCAAACCCTGACTTTGTAACTTCGTATTAATGTGTTCTTAGTAGGTAGACAAGTTCTTTTATCCAGCTATGCTTAAGTTTCCTCTTCTGCAAAGTGAGTATTCTTTTTCCATTTTGTAATCATACAAAATACCTGACATGAAGTAAGTGCTTGGGGGTGGGGGGGTGACTGCTGCTATTGTTAATTCTGGAAACAGCCCAGATGTACGGAACCCATCCTATGACCACTGTTAGCATAACATTGCACATCTGATTTTTGAACAATTATTTTTCAAGTTAATATGGATATCAATTATAACATATCTGCTTTGTGAGAATTAAATGAGATGACATAGTACTTAATATAAAAAAGTGCTCAGTAAATATGCCTATTACTGTATCTGTATTATGGTTTCTTTTAAAATATTTTTTGTTAGGTAATAATATGAGACTATATAAACCAGTCAGAACATTTTGTGAGAAACTGAAAGCCATAAGGGGTCAGAGTTGTCCTTAGGGAGAGATAAAGCCTGTTCACATGGCCTTCCACATCTCTTCTCTGTTCACATAAAACATAGTGCAAGAGAATTTACTCAGCATTCATATGATGAGAAATAAATTCTGATGTACTCATTGTTTATCCTCTCATCAGCTGTGTAGGTGCCCTTGAAAAGTTAAAGTCCATTTTTTCGTTTGCAAAGACACTTGGCCAAAATGTTGGCAAACTGAAAAATGCAATGATTATTTTGATCCCATTTTCCCTGTGTAATCACATACTCAGCTACCAGGCAGCACTGCAGATCAAGTCAGCCACATCAAGTTCATTGTGACACATTTGTGTGGTAAGTATTTGGATTGTTTCCCACAGGTTGGAGTACTTCTAACGTTCACAGATTTGTCTCTTTCCACATGAATCAGTGGTGGAGCCCTGTTCACCTGTGATCATGGCACTTAATTTGGTTTCGTGTATCTCTAAATTTAGGATTAGTCTTTGGCAGAAATGCCTACAAGTTACCGTGTCTGAACTGTGTGAACCTGTCCTCATCCCTCTGTCTCTTCAGCCTTTCCCGGTGGCCTCTCCTTTCCCCACCCCAACGCTCCTTCTTACCTTCTCCTCTTCTGACAAGTCCTTTCAGTCAGTGAATGAAATTATCATCACTCAGTCTCACACTGAGTAAAGAAAACTGTGTTTAAATAAATTTGTTTTCCTGCACAGTCCTTTCCATACGTGCTGTTCTTGAGTTACATTTTTTGGTGACTGACAACTCGAAGCCATTATGGAATACCTTAATCATGGGATTAGTAATAATAACTTACTCCTTTTGTGCATTGAATACAATTAAGGCTAGTTTCTTCCTCGAGTTAGTCTCTGAAAATTAATTATATACTATATATAAATATAAGCTGCTTTATAGCTGAAACTTGGTTCAAGAAAAAGCACTTAACCATAAAGGTAGTCATTAATTTGATTAGTGAAAAATCCACAGCTGTCATAGTATTTTTTCCTACTCTCTTGAATGTGGATCCTTTGGAATTGTTTTCTAAGTAGAGGTTTCATTTCTTATTCCAATGGAACCATAACAGCTTCTTTCAATAATAACTATTAAAGTGGTTATTGATTACTGGCATCTATAAAAGATCTTAGCACATTGTGATTTACTGAAGAGAGGGAGGTTTTGGTATTTATCTTGAGCCAGTAAAGGTATTTCGGTATCTGTCTTGACAAGGTAATTATGTGAAATTACACATTTGACAAACTGAATTGTGGGCACAGAAGAATAAGTGGATGGGCAAGGTGAAAAGTACTGTTGATGGAGAGACAGTGTTCAGAAGCAAGTCAACACGAATGAGCTAAAACTGTCAATGCTTTAGTCACTGTCCATTCTGTAGGTGAGTCTGTCTTGAATACTCTGTCAGGGTGTTAGGAATGCAGTATGTTAAGAGAACTCTTTCAGGTTATTGCCACTGGGAGAGAGAACTAATGTCCATGTTATAGAAAGAATCCTGTTTTTGAAACGGTTGTTATGAGGGTGCTTGACCTTCATCAGACACTGGCTGCTTTGTGATAAGGTGGACAGAGCGCAGGGAGTCCGGACAGTTGTGGACGCCTGGTCTTAGGCAGATCATTTAACTTCTGTGAGGGCAGTTTCTCATCTATAAATTGGTAATTTCCTAGATTTCCCTTGTCACATAGTAGTCAGTGTAAAATGCAAGTTTGTTTTCCCTCTGCCACTAAGCATGTTGTTCTGCCTATAAATCATTATGTCAGTAGGTATCTTAGTAGAATTACATATTTTCTTATTTATGTTTTCAGTATACTGTTTTCAGACTTCATTTTGCAAATTATGAAAGAACACCTGAGGTTCCTCAAGTCACTTTCATATACCACTGTGTGTATAGTATTTTTCAAGGATGACATTGCATACTTTGAATAGGGATAGTATCAGTATTTTCCAACCATCCATCCATCTGTACTTTGTGTTTCTTATACAGACTTTGTACTTGGTCTTGATACTTCCGTTCATATTATTTTTGTTTCATTCCTTTCTACAATGCCACGCTCACCTATTTCTTTCACTAAGCCTTCTGTTATCCCTGACATCTGCCCTCTCTCAAGTTACAGCTTTAGTGACCTCACTCTTAATTGGAATACAGTCACATGCCCTTTGTCAGCCCATACCATTATTTTGCATTGTTTAATTCTAAGTAATTATAACTCAACTAGATTTTCAACTACTGAGTAAAAGCACTCTGTTATAAATCTTGACACCCTCCCCTGGGCTGAGCCTTGTCCATAGAGGACATCTAAGTTCCTGTTCATCTATGCATAAGACATGGGTGGAATGTGTCCTTTTACTGCTTGCTGGCGCTGAGTACTGAGAAACTAAAGGTGTAGAAGATCTAGTATTATCTTTCCCATCAAGTAGTACATAATCTGGGGAGGAAGGCAGACAAGGTGATAAACACTTCAGCATGTTATGAGTATCAGGATAGAAGAACCACTCAGAGGTGGAATTAAAGAAAGCTTTTATAGACCAGAGACATTTTTATAGATATGGGTATTTTTGTAAATGTTTGAATTGTGTCTTAATAGGAAAATGGGATTTCTCTTAAAGTGAAAGGAGTGTTTTGAAATTACTTGATATTTTGACTTTATAGATTACTGCTATTATCCCAAATATTATCACCTCCTCATGAAACTTCTGAAACATAATTTGTATTGATTTTATGTATGTAACACAAAACCATGTCTTGGCATTTCTAGAAGTGGGAATTCCAATAAGTAAAGTATTGTATTTCAGAGGAGTTCCTTTTAAACTATGTGCAATCTCACTTGGATACTGCCAGAGGCCTCACTTACTGCCCCAGACACTTGCATTGCTCCTGCCAAGAGCCCTGGACACTGGGCATTTCTGTTAGGGCAGAGGTCTGCCTGAGGGCTCTTGAAATTAGAAGGTTTGAAATTCCTCCTTTAAGGGGCATCGGTATTACACAGGACTGGAGGCACTGTATTCTGTCCACGGAGAAGCGCAAGACCAAAATTCAGCACTCTCCTTCCCCTGAAAAGATGCAAACCAATCAACCAAACGAGGCTCCTTCAAAATTTTTTTTCAACAGTTTAACCTTAAAATAGCTTTTTAAAAATTACATCATAAGGACATCTAAGATGAAAGTATTAGCATACATGCTTTATTCAAATGGCATATTCATTACTACAGAAATCCAAGTAAGAGAGTAAGGATCTGTCCTATTTTAATTTTATTTGAACACACTATCAAATTTGGGTCTGTAGAATATAAATTCAAGGCTCTTAGATTAAAATTCATGCCCAAACGTTGGGGATTAAAATTCATGCCCTCACCATTTCCTAAATTCCTCAAATAATAAGGTGGTTTACATTTCTTCAATGAAGCTTGGATTTAAAATTTTTCTTGTGACATGAATAAATGCGTAGTGGACACTGACAGATCTAAGTTCATTTCCTAGCTTTTAAGCATTGGGCAATTCCCCACTTGCAGGAAGGAGAGGTGATGCTTACGTCCTGGGTTAGCTGTAGACCCACCTGAGCCAATGTGAAAATCGCATGGGACAATAGTACTTGCTGAACATGTTTGCTTCCGTTTATATAAACTACCTGCATCCTGGTGGTTTGCCATCTTTGATAAGGCAGGAAGAAGAGACTTGTGAGAAGTAGTCTTTCTTCCTGGGTAAAACGCACACACGTACATTATTTAATAAAGGAACCAAATCTTAACATAGTCTGTCTCTTAATTTCAGTTTGTCCATAGAAGAAATTGAAAATCGAGCCCAAGCCCTTCATCTCTTTGAGACTTTGAAGACTGATCCTGAAGGCTTTCACCAGCACATGGTCAAGTACATTTACCCCACGATCGGTGGCTTTGATCATGAAAGGCTGATATATTATTTCACTCTTCTGGAAAGCTTTGGCTGTGCTGAGTTTAGAAAATATACCATTAAACCAGAAACCCACATTCGGCTGCTGAAGAAATTTAAAGTAGTTGCATCAGGTAAGATGATCATTTTCCTGCTTGAACTCATTCTTTAAATCTCGGGATTAATTTTCTGTACACAGTCATGTTTGTATATTATGGCTAACAGAGATCTGAAATCACAGAATTTTGATGTTAATCGACTTTAGTTATCTTTCCAACTCCTTCACCTGCTGTTGAAGGAATTAAATATGAGAGAACTAAGAAGCCTATTGAAAGGCATGTAGTGACTTACAAAACACATTAACACCTCTTAGATCTGTATGGTACTTTCTCCTGTACAAGGCACTTTCAAATCTATGTTCATTTGATATTAATAGCAATTGTGAGAATTTACTTCAGTTTATCTGTGGCTTACTGAGTAACCAAATTAAACACAGGAAAAGAATAAGAGTCAATCCCTGCCTTCAAGGAGTTGATGAGATCCCAGATAAATAGCAAATGAATATAATGCAGTTTGGTGCACTCACCAAAGAAAGCATAGGTGCCATGGAAGCATTTGAAGATGCAAGGAGATACTGCCCTCTCTAGGGTACACACAAGGACACTGAGGCACGCAAAGCTGAGTGACTGTCTAGGTTTGCACAGTTAAGTTGCAGGCTGGGACTAGAACTCAGATCTTCTGATCTAATTGACAAACTGTCTGCTATAAATAAGTTGGTTGATCACTTTTTCCTTCGGACAGTACAGAGGATTTTGCGTTTGAACCTGTATGTTTATGTAGGAATGAGCTACTCTATTTTCCTTTCTTTTTCCATTAGGTCTTAATTACAAAAAGCTGACAGATGAAAACATGAATCCTCTTAAAGCACTGGAGCCAGTTCTTTCAAGTCAAAATATCTTATCTATTTCCAAACTTGTTCCCCAAATCCCTGAAAAGGATGGACAAATGCTTTCCCCAAGCTCTCTGTACACCGTCTGGTTACAGAAGTTGTTCTGGACTGGAGATCCTCACCTCATTAAACAAGTCCCGGCGTCCTCACCAGAGTGGCTTCGTGCGTACGATGCCTGCGTCAAGTACTTTGATCGCCTCCATCCAAATGACCTCATCACAGTGGTGGATGCTGTTACGTTTTCTCCTAAAGCTGTGACCAAGGTAACCAAAAAGATAGCTAAAGGAGATTGAATGCTATAGAAGAAATGAAAATTGCTCTTATATTCTGTAGATTTTTTTCTTAAATTGAGGACTACTTACATGTTCTGCCTTCTGGTTTTTTGTTAAACATGAGGTTTTAATTGGGAAATCATTTTCCTCTGTCACAGATATACAAGTAGTCTAAGACTTGACTGTTCTAATTTATGTGTTACATGTGCAAAATGTAAATTTTCTCATAGTATTTCATTTTACAGTAAATATTTCATCCTCTTCAGTTGACAGTGGACAGAACCTTCAGTGCCCAGCCCACATTAGCTAGCTGCATTCAGAGCCAGGCTAACCACTTAGCTGTGGTTAAATTGAGCCTTTAAAAACTTTCACATGAATACCACATAGTGTTTGACTTGGTGATGGAATAATCCATGGGCGTCTCCAGCACACTCGCCAGTGTCTCCTCCCTGCTCAGTTGTAAGCTCCTTCCCTGGACTGTGATTCTTGCCCTTTGCACTTCAGCAGTGTATGCGTTTACTTAGAGCAGAGAATGTGGGTCCTCCTTGCCTTCTTGCTGTCTCACCTTCTCCCCCAGACACCACTGCCCAGCAGATGCGAACTTCCACTGCTTGGACCCAGGGCATTGCCTCTCCTAGAGATGCTCCTGCCTCCGGCCTCAGCTGCTGAGCTGCACGGCCTTGGAGCTTTTTTCTCTGTTGCCCGTCTTTACTGCTGCCTTCTCTGTCCCCCAAACTGGCAAGTCTGCCTGGTATCCTCTCCCAGGTATTTTTATTGTAACTATTATTATCTTGAAATTTGAGTATAAAGGGTAAGAATAATTCAAGTCATTTATTTAGAGGTTGGCACAGGTAGAGATTCAGACACCTATGGAGAATGCTAGTGTTAACTGTATTAATAGTTGTAGGTAGCCGAAGATTTCATTTCCTTATTATTGTAACTCAAATATTTCAGCTAATAACTTGGTTTTAAATTTTATAACCACTTCTATAAAGAAAGAGATAATCATTTTTATTGTTTTCAAGGGAGAAAATAAGGATGATTTTAAAGGCAGGTGGTGTGATGATTTGAAAGAGTGCAAGTTTGGAGTAATTTCAATCTGGCTTGAACTTTGAACCTGACACTTAACCAGCTCTGTGGGTTACCCTCAGGAATTGCTGTTAGACTTCTGCCTCCTTGGGGCAGAGGATGTGGCTGAGTAATCTGTGAAGTAGATAATATTATTGCCCCGTTATTAGTAGGTGGGTATGCTGAGGTTCAACAAAGTTAATTTGGTAAGAGAGGAGCCACAATTTGAACTCATAGAGGCTTATTCCAGGGCCTTTGCTTAACCACTGAACTGTTCTGTGAAAAAAAAAGCAGTTTGAATCAAGAGACCTGGGATTTTAAGGAAATGAGGGAGAAAAATGGGACCAGAAATCCCCACACATTTTAGTCCAGGTGGAGCAGCTGTCATGGGATGTGTCCAGTGCAAGGCTGAGTCTAAATAAGGAAGGGCAGGCAGGAACCCAGCAAAGTATGGGAAGAGACAAGACCTCAGCAAACAGTGGTTTCAGATCTCTAAGAATGAGAGTTTCCGAGTCCAGTGTTAGCCATGCAGGAAGTATGTATCTGAGGGCAGAGACCGGAACCAAGCCGGGTGTAGAAATCCAAGGATATGGCTCCAGAGTTGGGAGCTGTGAATGGGCTGTAGTCACCAGACAAGCAAACGCATCGACCAGGACATGGAGGGGCCTTCACTTTACGGCTGTTTCCCTCCCCCAGGCTGTGGGAGTTTTTAAATATTTTATATGAGGGCAAGATCGAAATCTAGCATGGCCAGCCAAGGCCATATGCTAATTGTGAGCATGTAATATGGAAGTGGACGAAGAGTTCTAGACTTTCCGACAGCAATTATTTACTCATGTTTAAGCTTGTCTTGGATGTAGAGTCCACTCAGTCTTAGCTGTTTTCCTTCTTACAACTTTAAGATGTCCTCCAACTACCTGAAAATGTAGTTAGTGCATATATGTGTATTTTTCCTGAGGAAAAGATGCATAGCTGACTCAATATTACTTAATTTTGACATTTCTTTCTCAAAGTGGTATAATCCTCAATAAGATCGTCTTTTATTGTAAACTATCTCAAGAGGTGGTTTGCCATTGATACAGATAAGCTATAGAAAAGTGAGACAAATACATTTAAAATTAGTTTTACATCTTTAGCCTAGATTTATATTTTTCCTCATTTTATTAATTGGAAGCTTTTACTTTTTCATTCAGAGAGGAAAAGTGTAAAGTTCATATAGAGTGCATTTTGAAATCATATAATGCCATTGTAGAAAGAAGAGTATAAAATTCAAGTTGAAATACAACCTGCACATGTGAGAGGACACATTTGGAAAAGGAAATGCAATTGGATTTGGCCAACTTCGCAAAACACCAGATGTTCCCACAGCTTGTACATGATGTTAAAAATGTAGAATAAGTGTATACTACTCATATATATAGTGTGCAGTTTTCAAATATGTAACCACATTTAATTCAAAAACCAAACTTTTAGAAAGAACTAATGAACTAATTCTAGAGCGCGTAACTGGGATGGTAAGCAATTGTTCAGATACTGGAATTCAGACAGGAATGTCCCTAAAGCCCGAATTTAGTGCCTCTTCCATGATGAACTAGAGAAGGCTCTTTCCCATCACGGTAATAGTTATTCGGTTACCATTTGCATTAGTAGACTTCATGGAATTCACAAAATGTTACCATGTATGCAGAAACTGAATTTGCATGACACTTGAGGAGATGAATATGTAGAAGGGAAAAGAATGCAAATACTTCAAGTGCATTTTGGTGGAATCGGGTTAGAGTTCTTCTTGCTTTTCCACTTCAACAATTAGAAACGTTTTTGTGGAAGGGACAGAGAGCAATTTAGTGGGTCAGAAATTCAGGAAAATGGTGAAAGAAGGAGAAATGACGGTCAAAACATTATTTGCTTGCTTCAGACGTGATGTGGTTGGATGAGGCTTACACGTCATCTCGGCCTCCGTGTTTTATACTTTCTGCTCGCTTTCAGTTGCTCGTATGGCTGCATCCATAATTATAGGACATGGAACATAGTCCTTCTCAGTTATGAAATGCTACCCAGAAGTTTGCCAGGATCCTTCTTTAAAAGCCCCAGATGATCATAGAATTAGAAGAGGTGCTCTCAATCTGTAATTGGCTGGGCTTCTACCACCCTCACCCCACCCTACGTGCACCTGCTGTTCCAGCTCCCGCGCTTTGTTCTGCTGGAAGCATGCCGTCTCCTTCAGTTAGAGCAGAAGAATGTTGGAGAACCTGTACTTCAGTCTGACCTCTGATCATCAGGCATCATTTCTATTGATAATTAAGCTACTTCCCTAATCTTTCTATCTATCTTCAGGCTTCTTATAGTTCCCACTTTCTGGTTCTTCATTCTGGAGCTATGGAAACAGCGTAAGAATCTCTCTTTTCATACCATGACTATTCAGATTCTTGAAATAAGCTACTGTCTCTTCTCTTATCCTGTTATCCAGATTATTTGACATAGAAATCTGGAAGAATAATTGTATCTGAAAAAACATGATATGACCTAAAAAAATGTATTCTTATAAGTTTAAGTCTCAATTAAAAGGCAGCATTTTAACTATAACTTCAGGGTCTTCACAGTGCTATTATCTTTTAAATAGGGATGACACATGATTTTCACCATATTGAGCAATTAGTGTGTGAAACCTATGTAAAAATATTCCAAAAATATGTATTACTCAATTGTATGGCATGATATATGACTTTCTGATGTATAAATCAAATATTATGTAGGCTCAGATTGAGTCATTAAGTAATTAGGCATTAGCTGTGTGCCATATGCAGGATTAGTTGCTGTTGGCATCATTAGGATGTAAAAGACATTCCTGTAAGACACTTAAAATGAAGTTTTTAATTTATAGTAAAAATATTATAATTGGGAATTACACCTTACATGAAATTAGAAATTCTTTAAGGGTAAGAATGGTGCCTTTTATATCTAATTTTCCAGTTCCTTGCACAGTATAAAGTAGGTACTTCTTAAGTGATTGTTTAAATAAGTACTATCATAAATTGATGATTCCTAAATCTTTTGATCACTGGATGCCTTAACATTTTAAAAAATCATTGAAAACCTTAAATAACTTCTGTTTATTAAGATTACATTCATTGATACTTAGCGTATTAGAAATTAAAACCAAGAAATTTTAGATATATTTACTTCATTTCATTCATAAACATGAGTATTTTAATGAAAAATATATTTCCAAAAGAAAAATATGAGTGACATTATTTTACATATACATGTTTGGCATAATAGAACACAGCTGTATTCTCCTGTTTGTTTCTATATTTGGTCTCTGTTATATTGTTTGAAGTAAATGAAGAGTCCAACCTTATGCAGATATGACATTGGCAAGAGGGAGAACTGCTTCAATAGCCCATAATTTTGGATATTCTTTGATACTACACTGAAACTTAACAAGCGATAAATATTTTAAGATGAGTTGCATTGTGAAATCTGAAGCCATATTGTTGAACTTTTTGTACTCTCTTACACTAAAACCATTGGTCTAGATTGCACTTTGAATGGATCTTTTACTTATGTATGGTTTGTAACATAATTCATTAGGAATTTGGAAACTAGTAGTCCACTGAATTATGCAGGTCATGCAAATGTCGATGCTTTGCATTATCCAGTGTCAACAAAGGCACAATCATATGGACATCCATCTCAGCAGATGAGTCTTGAAGTATTAAGAAGCTGTCAAGCTCACAGTAGTAGATACAAGTTTTCCAAAATTCTAATTTTTTGCTTGAAAGCTCAGATTTTATCTTTGGCAACAAACACTGTGAATTGTTTTCCTTGAAGTGACAGGCTTACTTTGTTCATTTTGGAAAACATGTCTGCCGGATATCCAAGTCTGAATAACCATAGTTTGTCTCTTAGTTATTCTTCAAGCA